TCCCTCCCTCCCTCTCTCCCTCCCTCCCTCTCTCCCTCCCTACCTCTCTCCCTCCCTCCCTCTCTCCCTCCCTCCCTCTCTCCTTTCTCTCTCATCCTGTTTCTTGTATAGATATGAGTCTAGATATGGCCAGAGTCTCTGTGTCTCAGACCTCTCCTCCTAAGTCATCCACTCATTCATCAGCTCATCAAAGTGATGACGACCTGACAAGACAGCCTAGTGTGGACACACTGTCCATTGAGCCAGCCGTTACACCTACTAAAACAGGTTTGACATTATCACAATTTTTCTAGATATTTTTGATTATTCAATCTCCAAAAAAGTGTTATCCTGGGAATATCTGTACATGTTCTTGCCTTACTTGTACACTGTATGTTGCGTAGAAAGTTTGAGTTGATTTTGATCAAATTAGATTTTATTATGAATTTTTGAAGCTGCTCAAAAATTTGGCAGAAGACCATAGAATATGTTATTGTCCAAGTACATGTAGCTCAAATTAATGTTGGTACTACATTAACAAACTTATTCTCATTCAGGAAGTACTTGTACATACATGTACATGTATGCTGTATTTCTCCCGTAATTCTTATTATATTCATTAATGAATGTCTTGCTTTATGTAGATGGACGTAGCTCACTTATTAGTAAAAGAAAGCCAGCTGCCAAGCCTAGTGTAAGTGAATGGCCACAATTAAGCTCCAATGTGTATTGTGAATTTCTTGTTTAGTTTGGTAAAGGACTAGGAGCCCAGAAAGTCAACAGGAGTTTCTCTGAGATTGAAAAACAAGTAGAAGAAGAACAGAAAACACTAGAAAAGCAAGCAGCTGTCTTTACTGACAAAAGCCCCCACCAAGACAAGTAAGAATAGAATACCAGACCTGGAGGAGAGAGAAAAAGCACCTGTCCTTACTATAATAGGGTGGCAACTAGTCCCCTATACTACACTAGCAGCTCCTTTTATGTGTTATAAGATTCTTTTTAATGTTGTGTTCTAGGACAGAGTTTGCTGTTCAAGTTGATAGACAGAAGATGGCCTCTCTTGATCCAATGAAAGCTAAGCAGGCAGAGAGGCTAGGAATGGGACTATCTCGTGCAAGGTACTAGCAAAGTTATATTTGTATATACATGTACATGTATCAGTAGAACTGCTACATTAACCTTACACGTACATCAGGGTTTCTTTCCCATTGGATTTTGGCATAATGCTTACTGCTTATCGCTTCTTTTCATTTAACTTTATCAAAAATTGCACCAAAGGCTCTATAGCATATGTATGCTATAGGGACTAAAAAGTTCTTCAATTTTTTGATGTACATGTATATGTACATATATTTATGTTGTCTAAATATTTTGAGCAGATTTTGATCAAAATTGGATTTACACTGTACGTGTATTATGAATTTTTGAATTTGCTGGAAAATTGGGTCAAAGCTACTGTACATGTACATGT